ACACCCCCCCCCAAAAAAAAAAGTTTTCTGTTTATTTTTCTTTCCTCTCTCCTCAGAGGCCTTTTCCACATAAGACTTGCACTCTTTGCAATTTGGAAGGCAGTACACCGAGTGCCATCTGCCCTCTGTTATTTGCTCCCCTCCCCTGTCTCGGTTCTCCTTAGGAGCAGGTACCTGGAGCCTAAGGGAACGCTGTCACTGTGGAACAAACAGAGCCCAAGGATCTGCTCCTTGCTTTGTGAACCCATTGGGCTGCAAAACCAAGGACAGTAGAAAAGCTGCATAGAGTAAGTAGTGGAGAATTTGCTAAGAGACACCCAGGGAACAACAGGATGTAACTCTCATAGTGTTTGTATTATGGATCTTATGATTCTTCTTAACAAGATTGGAAATGTCCTCGGAGGATATTATTATGCATAGTTATCTTGCTGCTATGGGTCATCCAGCAACTTTAAAAATTATGTCAGCATTCTCAACTTGTTTTCAAGTTTCTTTTCAACAGAAGATATTCTGTTGGGACTAAAATTCCAAGATTTCCTCTTTGGTTCATACCTGAATGAGTAGTAATAATAATATAAAGATATAGCATGGTGAGCACTGCATCTGTAAAGTGATAAACTTTACTCAGTAGCTTGTCCTGTCTTTCTAAATGAGGTGACAAATTTTTGGAATCATGCTTTCATGTGAAATCTTTAGATTAATCTGGGTTTATGTACCTCTTGGCCATTTAAAACAATTTTAGTAGTAGATGGACACAACATTTTATTTACTTATTTTTATGTGGTGCTGAGGATCAAACACAATGCCTCATGCACGCAAGGCAAGCGCTCTACTACTGAGATGCAATCTCAGCCCCTTCTTGACCATTTTTGAATTATAAAGTGTCATGTAAATTTTCAGAAATACACCATCTCCCTTAATGCTGGTGCATAATGAATAGTGTGTTTTACCTTCAAATGTAGAGTTTTCCATGGTTCATGTCATACAGAAAAATGATTTCTTTATAAAATTGTTCCCTTGAAAATTTGTGTACGGTGAATAATTTTTCATGGAAATTTTTCAAGCCTTCCTGTGTGTGCCTTTACTGAATTGAACAGTTACATTTGTTCCTGGGAAAGTAACTATTATTTTAATATTCATATATTTTCTTTATAGCATTACATTCAGATTTCAGAATATCTATTACTATTAGCCTGTTCAATTATGAAAAAATATTATTTTAGGGAATATTTGTATTTTTAACCTCTTTGTAAACTATAAGTGATTTGCCAGTCCTTATTTACTCTTGGATGTTCCTCAGAAATTATTCATAAATTATCATTCAATATTAGAATTTTTATTCAGAAAGTTAAAATAAATGGGTCTGTTTAGAATTTACATAAATAACCAAATGGAATTGAGTTCCAAGTAAATGATACTCATTAAGTTGATGACTTAGTATAAAAGAACGGAGAGGACTGTAAAAGGGCTTTTTCATATATTGTGTTGAGTGTCATAAACCAGAAATTTATCTTTTATTTCAGTGCTATTTCAACATTTATACTTATTGACATCTTGTCTATAAAAATTGATCTGTCAGCAAGCCTGCTTGCTAGAGAGATTTGAGTACTAAGAATTGCTGCTTCACTCTTAAGAAGTAATGAGATGCCAGGCACGGTGGCACATGCTTGTAATCCCAGTGGCTCAGGAGGCTGAGGCAGGAGGGTTATGAGTTCCAAGCCAGCCTCGGCAACTTAGTGAGACCTTGTCTCTAAATAAAATATAAAAAGGACTGAGGATATGGCTCAGTGGTTAAGTGCCCCTGGATTCTATCCCTGGTTTAAAAAAAATAAAAGTAATGAGATAACAGAAGTTTGAAAGAATGTGAGGTTTGAAGTTAGAATAGTAACTCTTGCTGAAAAAGCTTTCTACAGGCAATCTGACATCTGACACTCCATGCAACATTAAAGAAGTTTATCTAAAGTATACCAGAACTTACAACAAAACACTGTAACATCAGAAAACTGGTCAGTTTGTAGAAAGGAGTTTGTTCATTAAAACCTAAAGGAAGGTAATTTATATACTGGATCCATAATCCTTTAGAGGAGGCCCACGAGCAACATGAAGAAAAGCCCAATTGCATTAATTCTCTGACTCCTAGAATATAATATCTTAGCTCCTCAACGTTGGCAGTGAACACAGAACCCCAACCATATTTTGTACACAGTATATTTTGACAACTGAATATGTAGTATTACAAAGGAGAAAAGTTATAATAAATTCATTAGATTCAAAGAATATTTGTTCAGAAATTTTGTCCCAGTCTCCTCTTTTAAGATGTCAGAGCCTTGGGGAATAACAAGTTGAGGTGACAGTTCTTAACTATGAGTGCTTTTGTCCCTTTAGGAAGGTCAGAGGTTAGAGGCAGTGCTACTGGCATCTAGTTAATGCCAGATGTGCTGATAAACATACAAAATGCATAGGATAGTTTTTGTTGAGAAGATTTACAGGACAAATGAATGGGCTATATGGTGTTTTTAGGTATTTTTCTGCCTAATATCTTAAATGTGGCATTAATTTTTGAGAAAATGCATAACCTTTATAATAACAATTTTATGGAGTACACAGGTACTTCAGTGAAGTGTTCTTTGGATATGGAAAAACTTATGACTCTTATGCAACATGTAGTACAGAACCCTATGGACCAAGCACATGATGAAATTTGGATTGGATGTGGACTAATGATCTCTTTCGTCCTCTATTCAGCCCCTCATTTACCTCTCTCCTTCCAGGTATTCTAGAAACATTCATGAATTTTGAGAAAGGAATGAGAAATTGGAAGAAAATGAGAGGAAATCATGGGGTGGGGATACAATCTGAAGTGGTAAGTCTAAACTGAAACTATAGCATCTGCAATTTAGAGACTGATTATTGTAGTAGGTTCACATTTGTACTCAACAAAGTCTCACACTAGTGTCTGAAAGGTAAGACTTAGCATTAGCAAAGCAATTGGAATTCATGTTTCCATTTCACAAATGTAAACTGTATAAATGAGTATTTGCATGAAAATGACTGCTCTACTAGAAAGTATTTACCAAATGAAACAAGACCACTTTTTAAAAATTTGAGATGGGTTGGCCAGGTTGGCCTCCAGTTCCTGAGCTTAAGTAATCCTCTTGCCTCAGCCTCTCCAGTAGCTGGGACAACAGGTAACTGCCTTGTGCTCAGTTAAACAAAGATTCCTTTTATATCTACAACTAAAATCGAGCATGAGTGAAACCCTGAAAGTTGGAACTGTGTTTGAAAAAGCTACTGATTCCTTTATGGATAAAGTTACAAAATGACAATGAATTTTGTTCTTTCAATGACAGTTGTTTTCCACTTTAGGCAATGATGACTACTATAAAATAATTTTATTTTTGACTTTGATGTTTCATGTGATTATTAAGAAAGGCTAAGAATTTACTCTAATAAAGTGTCCCCCCCACAAAGCTTTCTAACTTGATGTAATCAGAGAGAGAGAGAGAGAGAGAGCGTGAGAGAGTAATAGTACCCCTCTCATAAGGCTGTTCTGTGGAGGAAAGAAATTCGCACTTGACTTAAAAAGAGGTCATTCTAAAATGTGAACAAATGGAATTGATTTCCAGAAATGCCTCAACTTTCAAACCATGTCATTTCAACCTCAGATGTCAAAAGCCATATTTCCCAACACTGAATCGGTGTGGTAATATTTCCTGGAAGGATAGGTGGGTGATAACTTACTCTTTTCGTCAGCTGAGTATCCATCATGAAATTGTGCACGTGCTTTTCTGCTTTGGTAAGTTCTAGCTTTCTTGCCACTACAGCTACCACCAGGGCTGTGCAACCCGCACCCTGAAAACAAGAAGAAAACCCGGAAGAGTTACTACAGCCCTAGCCACATTGGAAAACGTTTTGTAGCAAATGTATTAAGTTCCTCAACATATTCTTTGGTGTCTTCTGTAAGTATCAGAAAAATGTGGTTAATGAATGGAAGTTAAAAGGCTTTAAACGGAGTGTTAAAAACCCAGTTCACCTCTACCAGATGAAATTAATGGCCAAAAAGGAAACTGGCTACAATTTCAGATTTCTTTTAAAAAAATATAGTAAATCCATCATATCCTTAATAATAACAATAATGAGTTAAGTTAGCATAAATGCATGGAGTAGAAATAGATTTTTCCTTAAAGAAAAATGCTCCATAATCATCTCCCAAGATGAGACCTGCAGGCTTGCGGCCAATCAACTGCAGTATAGCAGGAAGGAAAGAGACAGATGATCTCAGCGTGCACATAACCTCAGACTGCTCAAGTGTCAGTGATCTGAACCCGGACAATGGGGATATATGAAGTCATGCAGGTAAGGGATAACCATCCTAATATTTTGGAGGTTTAACTAGTACCAGGAATAGCATGATTCACCTTCATTTCGGAAAAAAAAAAATCATCAGTGTTTCTTTTCGAATTATAGGCCATTTAGCTGATCTCTTGAGGAAAGAGGCATGACACTGCATGGTACCCCACAGGTTATAGCCCTGCCTTTCTAGAGTCAAGGAGAACTTGTTGTGAGGGTCAGAGGTAAGGTAAAGATCATGGAGGCACCACCATCTGACCACTCACTCTTGGCCCGGCCAACGGAGGGGCTACCTCAGAGGCCTGGGAAGTCATCCCTCCAGACAGAATCTTAACCCTGAGAAGACAACAGAGCAGTCAAGAGTGCCAAGCCAGTCTCAGTGGACACAGAATAAAGGGCACAGTCAGGAGTGTGCAGGGGAGAAGTGTTAGTAGCATGTTTCAATAGACTCAAATCTCTTTAAACTGGTTTTTAATATTTGGCCACTTTATGTTGGCCAAAAGGGTAGAAAGGCATCTAGGTAAGAGTCTCAAATTCCCAAAGATAATCTGGCTTTCCCAATTACCATTACACCTAATAATAATAATAATAATCACTAGTTCACATATCAACTCAGTGCCTTCACAATGCAGTGGTCAACATTCTAAATATCCAGTTTTGAGAAATGGCTACATGAACTTACAGCCTACCCATAAACACAATGATGACTGTGTTAAATTTTTATTTCTAAAACATTTAATGTCTAAAAGGCAAGTTTGAAAATCATACATACAATATGCTACTGGTTTTGTTTTTTTAAAAAAGACAATCCACAATGGAGACAGAAAAAACTGGAAAGAAAGAAGCCCACCTTCGAAGAGGTTACCTCTAAGTAGTTGTGATACGTATTTTGTTCTTTTCTGGAGCTCATATCTTCTATAATCACCACACTATTTATGTAAGAATGTAATTATACACTTAAAAGTTTTCTTAAAAAGTGACAACCATTTATACTTCAACTTAATCTTTACGTATCTTTGTTAAAATTCAACCTAGAAAAACTATCTTTCTTCATGAATCATATTTTATATATACTTTTAATGTATAATAAGTTATATGATATTTTCATTTGTATTTGAATATCTCTTCTCTTTCCATCTTGTATGAAAAAAATCTGTATCCTCAGAAATGAAATGCTACTAATCATATGATCAAAGAAAGAGGCTAGAGGTATTTAGAAATTCTGTTTAACCTTGTGATTTTAGAGATAAGACAACACAGAATTTGTAGGTATCCAGTTATTAGCCTTAATTTCTTACCTATCTCGTGATATTTATAATACATATTTTCTTATTTATGGATAAATTTCCATATCCAGGATGCATTATGAGGCACTGTATTTCAAAACAACATTCAAATTTACTTTATCTGATAAAATCTTAAAATATAAATATTTAAACATTGAGAAATAGGTTAGTTAACTGTCGCAACCTTTAAATCAATTGCTCTCAACTTTGACTGTGAACTAGAGTCACTTGGAGTATTTGTAAGAATCCTATGGCCGAGAGTATGTGCACAGTGAATAAATCCTAATCTTCAGGGATAAAATCCAGACATCAGTATTTTTTTTAAGTGATTCCAACATAGAGTAACTGCTTTAGATGAAGGAGGATATCTCTACAAACAGTATTCAAAGAAGAGAATGAAGTTCCTAGTGGGTATTTTACTTTTGAAGACATTCAAAATGGGGAAAATAAAGGTAGGGTATGTGGTAGTTATCCTAATATTCTGTGCTCTGGGCAGACAATAAAAGCGAGGTTATTTTTCAACATGTACCAAAATCTAGTCGTGGTACATGACTCAGTGGCCACCATGCTCACTTACTGTAGGGGGCAGCATTTCTTTGACAAATGCAGGATCATCACCTGTTGAGGCATGCTCCCAGACATTTCTCAGTGCAGCAGAGATTGTAAAAACCTGAGGGGGGCTCCTAACTGCTAGAGAGACAACTATGAGAGGGCAGTTGGCACAAGAAGTTGAATATTGTTCTCCCCTGGCAGGTGTCCACTGCTGAGATCCTTCTGGAAAGAAACCAAAATCCTAACAGGAGTGGAAAATCACTGGTACCAAGAGCCTTTGGAATTTGATTTTGTGTTTATTCTTGGGCTCTGTTCTTCCCTTGCTGAGTCTTCTCTCACCCACCAGACGACTTATGCATTAAAATGATTACCTTTGGTGCAAATGGGAAATGAAAGCAAGTCCAACAATTTAGTAATTGTTAAAACGATTGCCTACCTATTTCACTCCATTATCCTAACTGTACCCCTTTAAAAGTTGTGCCTCCAGAGACACTTAGAAACCTCTTTCTGTTCAAATGCAAAGCCCTTCGCTCCTTATCTTTAAGCCTTACTTTAATTAAGGAAATCATAAACTTACATCTCTCTAGGTTCTTAATATATCATAAGAGGATTTGATATGTATAGAGTTATGTCTCAAAAAAGGAACCTTTAGAGTTATGCAAAATGAAACTGGCTTACTTCCAAAAGCTTTCTAGGTTCAAGGTAAACTCCTGCCAACACATTAGTGGTTACAGTCATTTCAGTAATGGCATAATGTTATTGTCCACTCAGCATCTATTTCCAGGATCATTCTGTTTCATCAAGTGAATAAGAATGAAAGTAAGCAGGCTTTTACAACATTTTCTCCCAAGCTTGTCACCACCACAATCCATGTAGAAACAGTTGGGACTAACATATGTTACTCTTTGGAATGAAGAGCCCTGTATGCCTTTAGTAAGATGAGTCATATTCCTTTCACCAAAGTTAGAAAATATATCCTGGCAACTTTTCTCCCAGTTCATTTGTGTTCTTAAGGAAGACTAAAAGCAAATCAGTAACCTGCCACTTTAAGATGCTTGGGCACCTAAAAATCAAGTGAAGGGAAGTGTTTATGTAGCCAGAATACGCAAAGCAAAGGTTTAGGGTTTCCTTCATTTATCATCTTTCCTTCCAACAAGGTAGATGTTAAAAGAAGGGGCAATACCTTGCTTTAAGAAAGGTAACTGATAACAAGTATTGGTACTATTCGTGACCATAAGTGAGGTCAGATAGATGACAGCATAAGTTCTGGTTCAACCCCAACACCTGGAGAGTTCCAGATGCTGCCAAATTAAGATGTCTGCTTCTCTATGGTAAGAGCACAGAAACTGCACACCATGTTGATGCCTAGACTGAAAAAGAAGTGGCCTATTTATCCTTAAGATCATTCATCACCTAATGTTTGAAAAATCCAATGGTGACATAGTTATATGGATCCAGCAACTACTTCCAAGAATCATTTTGAAGGAACATTTTAGAATCAAGCTTTAATACCTTAAGAATATAAAATTACGAAAGATAAAAATTTCTTCAACAGTATGCTGGGGAAAGTTCTTTTAATTATTTTTAGTTGTAGATGGACACAATATCTTTATTTTGTTTATTTATTCTTATCTGGTGCTGAGGATCAAGGCAAGTGCTCTACCACTGGGCCACAACCCCAGCCCCTGGGGAAACGTTTTGATTATTTCCTTATACAGATTCAAAGAATAAGGAAATTTGTAACCTTTTGAAATTTCAGAATTCTAACTACCAGAGAGAAGGGCTCTGATAAAAACAATTTTCAAAATATTCAACCTAAATTATCTTTCTGTTGGTTGTATAACAGCTCCTAAAAGTTCAAACTGTAGTTCAATAGTCAACTTCTTAGACTAAATAGACTATGAGAGAATTAAAATTTATAAAAAAAAATAGTTAAGAATTGTGTTATGCTTTATACTTAAAAATTAATAAAACAGCTTTAAGATTAATTTTCATTTTTACATATCAGTTCATCCTCCAAAAGGAGGATGAGTATTTCAAAACACTACCTATTTTTCTGTCCCAGGGGTTGACTGACTCAATATCCTAGAACCATAAATACATTTTTATCACACTTGTCTGACATAATTATACTTTCATAAAAAAATATGTAAAACAATCAATTCTGGCAAATAGAATTCTATAAAACACTCAGCTTTAGTATTACCTCCCATTGGAGTTCTGCAAGGTTTCTTTTGGTCATAAAAACAATTGCCTCTATCAAAAATGTCCTTCCTTGAGTCCCTTCAAATAAAAACTACTATTTGCTCCTGGAGGGCAGAGGTCAATTTCAAATGTCCTCATCCTAAGGAAGAAGGGAGGAAGTGTGTGGTGTTTGACTGAAGGCCAGGGACCTGCAAAACCCAAGTCTTCATGAGGGTGATTTGCTGGTTCAGCTCATTGTTGTACTTTGGGGGCTGGAAAGAAGGAAGCACTGCATAAGACTGGTCATCAACAATGAGTCATCCTGGGTTTAAATCTCATTATTGGAAATGGTGCCAATGTGACTGCAGGTACTTTAGAGACAGGAAGGGCAGCTCTGCTAACTAAAAGTGCTGATGGCTTAGAAAAAGGAGATGGAACTGTGGAGTCATTGAGCTAAGCACTAGAGGGTCACAACCACTTCTAGCTATGCATGTCTGAACCTGGAAGAAAGCAGCTGTCGTATTTCTTCTGAAAGGAGGTCCCAATAAGGCACAGGTGGGGGATACTGTCTTCTACTCATCCATCCCACCTGCAGTGTTGCACAAAATAGAAAACTATTCTAAGAACTTAAAGATATACTCTCCTCTGTGGGCCTTTATTTGAGGAGATTCAATAAAACACCAGAAAGAACCCCAAAGCAAACAAACCAAATATAAGGCCTCTTTTAAATTATTTGATATCAAATACCCTATGTAAAATGATACAACATGGGAAAAAGTGATCCTGCAGTATTTTTGTCATTCACATAAGTGCACTCTTAGTACTTCTCTGTCTAGAGGCAGGAGACAAAACCTTCAAATGGAAAGTGATACCTTAGGTTTAGCCCTCTTTAATTTACTGTCATTTCTCCGTATGCCTTTTAGCTAATTCATTGCTGGTTCTGGACTACGGGCTCAGCACAACTAACCTTCAGGAGGAAAGCTACTAACCAACAACTGACTGAATCTCTGTACAACGTGAGGCCAAGATTCCTCAACAAGGACAGATTTGCTGCTGGTGAAATTATCATCAACTGTTTTTAAGGAAAAGACAAGGTTTCTGTCTGGAGTTGACTTTTTACTTCCTTAATAAAAATTTTTAAATTTATGCGATTCTCAAATTGTTATAAACTAGGAAACCTTTATACTTTGCTTTTGTTTATACAGAATTACTAGTAGGAGAGAAGAAATGTCTTTGAACTGACCTCACTTGTGCTGCTTTGGCAAAGTCTAGGGGTTTACAGATCATCATTAGAGAACTGCCTATCAGATAATAACCTGCATCCCCAGGAACAGAGATTACTCCATATTTAAAGACAATCATGCCCCCAAAATTACTAATTCAAACTCAAAAGAACCAACAAAAAAGTTGACATAATTTACAGAAATAGAAAACCAAAAGTTACACATGAATGACTTTGCAATTTATAATATGAAGTAAGAAGTCCTTACCAAGGAGGTTCCATTCCTGATATAATCATCCATGTTCATAAGAAAGAGAAGATACATAGCTTTAAGAATGTGTTATATTTGTATAGATACAGAATGGGAGATTGGATAGATGCTGAATAAAACATTTACCTTCTCTATTGTAAAATTGGATATTCTGAGAAACTAGCACATATCACCTAGCAATGTTATTTGCTTACTGCCTTCAACCAAAAAAAGGAAGCCATTTAGTATTCATCCCACTGGTTATGAGACACCCACATCAGGAAATTCTCAGTCCTTTCTCCAATAGAGGAAGGGTAGGAGAAAATGTAATTACAATCTGAATTGTTTTCTCTTGAAGGGTAATGAGTGATTTTTTTCTTCCCATTGGGCAATTCCTTGATTGTATGTTTTTAAAATAATATCCAGGAGACAGGAAGAGATCTCTGTCTCTTAAGCTCTAATTCCTAAGTAAATCCTGGAAAAAGGAAATTTCTACTTGTTTGATCTATCACATTTCATTTGATTTTTTTTTTTTTTTCAGTGCTGGGAGCTGAACCCAGGGCTTTGCAAATGCTGCTAGGCAAGCGCTCTACCACTGAGCTTCACTCCCAGTCCCAACATTTGAATTCCTATTACAGTATTTCAATAACCAAGCTCCCCCAATTTTAGTAGTTTCAAATCATCTGTGTCTAAACATTGTAAGGAAACTGTGATTGTCTGAAATTGTGAATCCAAGATAATGACAGGCTATTTTTTGATAATTCGATATTTTTTCCTCCCAGAAACATAGAAAACCATTTCTCCTCGTGGTTTGACATTATATTTCTGCCCAGGATACTGCAGATTAATCTTAATCTAATGTCCCTGGCTCAGAAATATGGCCCATGACAAAAATTTAGCTATTTAAAAACTTTTACAGTCTAATTTTGAATTTTAACCAATGAAATATGAAGATCTAAGAGGATGACATGCAATTATTCATCAATTTCAATTAGCTTTCTAAGAAAGAAGGCATTGCTAATTTCCTTTTCTGTACATTTTTGAAATGGGAAATCTTATAGGTGTCAGTATTTAGTTAACTGTAGTTCAAAACAAAAAACCACATAAAAAGATAAATGCAGAAAAAGAAAATTCAAACATGAAAGCATAAAAAGCATAGTACTTCAGAGATAATATAGAAGATGATTTGGAGATGCCCCTGTGCTCTCAGAAATGTCGTAAATTGTATTCCTTTTTCACAGTTTATTAAAGGCCAGAGCTGAGAATGGGGAGAGAGACAGATGACTCAAGGGAAGTCTGACAATATGTATTTGACTTAAATATGCACTGCAAATGTCCAAGGAGAACAGATAAATAAACACTGAAGTAAGAACAAGTCATTTCTGGCTTAAGATAATGCAAAAGTGAATTTATACTTCCTAAAATGAAAAGAAAACAAAGGCAAAGCACATTTGTCTGAAAAAACAGAATCACATTTCAAATATTCAGGAAACTTCTATAAGTACTATGGGAAAAAAAAATGCCTTCTTTTAGGAATCTATATTGTCATCCAACATTCTCCATACTAGTGTCTAGCAGACTTCCATGCATCCCTCTCAATTCCTAGGGAATTTATGCAAGACATAATCAACTCTCAGAAGCTCATCCCAGAAGACTGCCCAGTAGCCTAACTCCATAGGGATTTGTTGTGTGTAGGGAAATAGATACACAATCCAACTCTACATACTTTTCAACTAGATTACTCAAAGACTAGTAGCTTTCTGTGTAAGCAAGTAAACCACTTTTGATCAGGTCACTTAAAAAATAAGTCCATTCTTTATGAGGGAGAAGAAATGGACAGTTTTACTATAGCCCTCGAAAACAGAAAGAAAGTTTATTATATGTAATGAAATTTACAGGATGTTTATGATTCCTATTTTTAAAAGTAAAGATAAATAGTGAACCTAAGCAAGGAAGCAGTTCAAGGAGGTAAACAAAAGATTTTTGCTGTAGGATGAGACTTTGAAGGAACCATTCTTGAGTCTTTAGGGACAAAGAAATATTGAGGAAAGAAAAAAGGATCACAAGGTACTATATCCAGGCAAGATTAATCACAAATTTGGTGTTGATCCCAAAGTGATTAAGCCCATTTGCTTGAATCCTCAGACACATCTGATTCAAGAATAAAAGTGGGTACATCTTGTTAGAAAAAACTTCCTTAGTGGTCCTTTCTAAGAAGTGGTCCTTTCTAAGAAGTACTATTACCAGTTTTTTTTTTTAATAAATAGCACTACTCATGTCCCCTATGGGCTTGTTAAGGGGCCAAAATATAGCTATGCACATTTTATTTCCCAAAGTGTTGCACTATATAATAAAATACCAGTATTTGAGAAAAATGGGGAAGTAATACAAGAGTAAGCATCAAATGGAGCATACCAGTATAATGAAAACAAATTAAAGTTCACTATGATTTACAAAACCACTGTTTTTTTTATAAGATGAAAATATTAAATTATGCCCCTAAGTTATATTTTTCACAACTGGGACTTGAAATGGTCATCTTGTTACTACAGGTGACTTTAATATTGGTCCTGGATTTTTATTTTCACAACTTGCTCCCTTATCCCTGTTGCCAATCTACCCGTGTCATGGGTACTCGGCCCTTCCAGCCAGCTATCAACTCTTGGAACACTCTCCCTGAGAAGGTGCTGTGAAGGTGTGCCCTCCACACTAGAAACTTCCAATGACCCTCTTGCTCTCTCTTGCTTACCAGTGGATGGACACAGCACAGGTGGTGAGCAGGGGTGACAAAATTTAGGAATTCTGGTCATTTCCACCCTAGGGAGCCATAGTTCTGCTTCATATTTTAATGTAGGTAGAACCCAAACAAGCATCAACCAATGACTCCTTGATGAAACCAAACTTTCAAAGGAGATGAGAAACAAAGAGAAACCTAGATTGGTGAAAATAATGCACTGCTCATTTGAAACTACCTGTAGCTTAAATATCTACGGACGCTCATACACGTTTATAATAACAACTTGTTAGCTCCCATTTCATGTACCTGAAACTAACAGAGCAAAGCAGCTGTGGTTAACTGACAGTGTGTGAGGGTGGAGAATGGCCAGAGTTTGGTAGGCATCCCAGAAGAACAAGGGCATGATCCTTACTATCAGCACCGAGCCTTTCTCATCTGTTCTAGAGACCTGACTTGTCAAGACCCCATCCTTGTCCCCCAGTCTCCTAAACAGTTCAGGATTTTCTTCTTCGGATACTTGTCACATGTGTAAATAACAATTATTTGTCAATTATTTTTTAAAATATAGGGCTTCCCCTTTGAGCTCTAGGAAAGCAGGTCAGGGACAGTTCATTTTCTTTTGCAGTATTCCCAGTATAGGTCCCTAGACCAGTGCCTGTCACTCAACAATATTTGTTAAAATAATAAATATTGTAATTATATAATTCCTAACCCTTCAATGCATCCAAAGATAGTTATCATGGTCCACATTTTACAGATGAGTAAAGGTCAGTTCACACAGCTGGTAGGAAAAGGCGGAACCCAGAAACTGCCTACTCTGAAGCCAAAGGTTAAAGATAAGTTTGTTCATCAGTTCAGTGCTCAACCCACAGAGCAATCTAACAGCTCTGTCTTCAACAGAAATCCATGAGAAGAATTAAGATGGAATCTACTGACGTTCTCTCCCTTCCAACACAAATCTGATTTAAATATACATATTTCCTGCTGTTTGGAAAAAGAGTAGCTCACGATGACTTAAGCACATGGACTAAATGGTTGAAGGGCCTTCTTGAGTGTAAATGAAGGAGACACGAAACAAAAACATACTTACCATAATTCCAGTAAGCAAACAGACTCCTTTTCCACAGTATGTGTTGGGTACCATGTCACCATAACCAATGGAGAGAAAAGTTATTGATATCAACCACATAGCTCCAAGGAAGTTGCTAGTAACATCCTGTTGATCATGGTACCTGAAACATAGCAAACAAAATCAGTTCTTTATAATTCATCTATAGCCAAGGACAATTTGACTCAATTCAATGAAGTCACTGTATCTTCTACAAACTATTTAGAAATTTTCAAAGCTGGTAATATAAATAAAATTGAGGTTCCATCTAAGCAATCTGAAAAACATCAGAAGGTGCTTCACCTTTAAAAATAATCTAAAAGAAAAATTACAAAATACAAAAACTGTTTTTCTTACCAGTGTAACATGATATATGCACATTAATCTTTGTACCCTCCTCTGGCCTCTGACAACATCTCATTTCTCCTGGAGGCCTAGCTGATGTGCCAGACCCACGTGGCAAAATGCAATTGCCCAATCTCACACCACACCTTGGTAGCAAAGGGCACCATGCTGATCCCTTTGCTACCTTGATTTCCCTGACAGAGGCCAACTCCTCATCAGCCTACAAAATAAATACAGGTTTATTATTATAAATTCTCTATTATCATAGAGACGACTTTTCTGGCTATTCCTTTCCCAACCTCTCTTCTGTGCTCCCTCAGTATCCAGTGTTCCCCTTTATTACAATACTGTATGGTAAATGTCCATCCACCAGGAGGTCCTTCTTCACTGCCATCCTTGAAGACAGAAACTGAATCTCTGGTCATATAGCCCCTCCCCCACAAACAGAGCTAAATAGAAGCTATTGTGTTACCAACGGCACACAAGAATTTATAGTGGGGGAAAAAAAGGGAGACAGAGGGATACAATTTATCCTGGCTCTTCTTTGAGGCATCAAGTTTTTCTGATGAAGAAAAAGGTTTGTATTATATAAGAAACAAACATCACACTTTGCTTGAAATCACATCATCAAACCTTATGCCCATCATGTAGACACTGCTGTCCATCATATGTGCATACAACAAGACAGGCCATGAAAGTGGTGGCTCTGGAAGAATCTTTTCTGGCTGCACATTATCTGTAGTCATGGGCCCCTGCAAACCCTCTTTGATTTCCATGACAATCAGACCCCAAACTTAAGTCACGAGAGGGGATTTCTTGCTCTTCAGTCACCTCCTCCTAAGAAAAACCCTTCCTTCCCCTCTCTCAGACACCACATGGAAGGCTTTACTTTCCTTGCTCTACAAAAGTTGGTTGGTACTCATTTCCCCTGGCTTTATTCATTCAGTCCTGCTTTTTGACTCAAATATGTCTTTGCTGCCAGGATTGAGGTAGCAAGGAAGCTGTTTCTGGCCAGTGCCTTAGGAATGATCCCATCTACAATTTCACTGGGCATGGCAATCTCTCAACACCCATTTTTCATCTTATGCTCCTGCTTCCATAACCCAAAGCACATGAGGTTCATGAAGTATAAGCCTTCTTCCATGATATCAGTGGATCTTACTCTCTGACTTGGATACAAAGAAGACACATGCTGATCGCTTTCCACTTTTTCCTTCTTCCACAGAGGGAAGAGAGAAGCTAAGAAATGCTGTTTCCTGTTACTCTGGACTAGACAAAGAGAAGCTCCCAGCTGGTGCTAGTGGAGAGAGGGCAACCACTGTGTATCCTAAAATAAAAACTGTGCATGAACAGGCAACCAGCCCTTACTGAGGAACATTCTGCAAGTTTCTGGGGCCAGGAGGGTAGACACCTCAACTATTCTAAAGAACAGCCATGTTGACCTAGTTTCAGAGTACCCTTTTGCCCAGAACGTCTGGGAGGAGATGCCTACAAGGAGGCCACAATGTATTCATAGCATCCCAGCAGGATAGGCAAATGCACTTCCTGAGTATCTTTTCTGTATAATGTGCACATCGCGGTGAGCTGATGCTACTGGTGCTATGCTTAGCTGTAACATGAGCTAAGAAGCTTCTGTGGACTTCTATACTTCAAAACCAGATCCTTAGAAGCAAGCTTTGAATGCTGTTATGGGGACTCTCAAATAAAGATTCCTTACTACGTGTGGCCTTAAACAGGGACTGCGTTACCCTAGTATTGAGATGGGTTGGACAGGAGAGGGGAGGCAACAGAGTTCATTTCCTATTCTCTTTTTGATTGTGAAATAAAGTTTCTTTTAAACAAGGCACAATTAACAGACAGAGCTGATATACCTAAGAGAGCTCATTCCCTGAGACCTATTATGTACACATACATCATATTTATTGAGTGCTCACTAAGTGCTCAGCGCCTGGCTCATTTTTCCCTTTAACAGGTCACGTTTTACCACATGGACAATCTTAGGCTGAAACAGCTACATTCTTACCCTCCATTTATCAACAAACTGTCCTTAGATTCTCTCAACACGTACAAATGTGTTGAGAGAAATATTTATTTGGAGTTATTTTCACACTGCTACTGGGAGTGACCAGAACACTACAACCTGATAGGCACGTGGTTTTCCTTAGGTAGAGTCACTAACAACAAAGAGGAAGCCTCATTCTCATATTATAAACCAAGGTCTCTAGAGGACGGCTTGCTAAGTAGGCCTGCAAAGAAATCTCATCCTTGGAATGAAAATTCCATGCAACACTTTCACTGGAACCTTCAGCAAACTAACTCTTCTTCAGTTGTTCATCTTGAATAAATACACATCTTCAAGGTACAAGTAAATCTCTCCCATCCTCATTTGGCTCTCAGCCAAATGCTCTGAAGTATTCTTTCACTGTTTCGTTCAGTCAATATTTATGATATGCTAAGCACGTTACAGTGATTCACAAACTGTGATCCCACACTGAAGGGCCTAATTAGACACAAATATATTTCTAGGAGTTGGTATTTTATGGCTATATACAGGATAATTCCATGGTAAATTATCCTTTTTAAACTTATGAAATAATAAACCTCTTGGAAAAATTGCTCAAAATGGAAAAACAGCATCTCATACTAATGTTTATGTTACCTTCAGACATACTTTGTTGTGAATAGTTAAGATGAGGTAAGTAAGAACCAATTTAGATACTATTAGAATATTTACCTGATTTCTTTCTTGGGGATTCAGAAAGAAATACTACACTTATCAACATGATGACATTATTGCTTAGCACATCCCCAGGTTTTTTTGCCAGATTCACACCCTTGTGAATGAGTAACACGTGCAATTTAAGGTTAAAGAATTTTCTTTTTTATTTAATTTTTTATTTGTTTTAATTATACATAACAGTATAATGTATTTATGCACTTTGATATATCATACAAAGATGGGATATAATTTTTCATTTTTCTGAGTGTACATGTTGTAATGACCAATGTGATTCTACAATATGTACACACAGAACTTTCTAAACATTTCTCACAGTAGAAGTTCATGCCACAGAATTACTGAGACAATTCTAACCTTCTCTACAAGGAGAACTGTTTTGAGAAGGACATGAAGAAATAATTCATGTGGCACGCTTTTAAAATAAAGACTTTGGGGTTTCAGCAGAAGACTACTTGAACTGTTTTCCAAAACTCAATGCTTTGGAAAAATCGTGAGATCAAAGCCAGGTATGGTGGCATACACCTGTAATCCCAGTGACTCTGGAGGCTAAAGCAGGAGGATCACAAGTTTGAGGCCAATCTCAGCAACTTCCTGAGTCTCTAAGTACCTTAGCAAGACCTTGTTTCAGAAGAAAGAAAAAAAAAAAAAAAGGACTGGAGATTGGCTCAGTGGTAAAGCAACCCTGGTTCAATCTTTGACATGGGGGGAAAAAAAAAAAGCAACCAAGATTGTAAGATCAGCTTTAACGTTTTAAAAAAGGAAAATGTTTCTTTTCTTAGTTTCTATTCCTTATTCATTTCTCCATTCACTGCTGACTGTGGGTCTAGCACTGTTTTTTTAGATCACAAATATGCCAACTTAATGTTAAATACAACATTTGTGGAAGTTCGCAGGGGTTATCTTTCCAAGGCAGTCACTGTCTCTCTCCCTGTGCACGCTCTGCCCTGCATTCTTGCCTCCCCTCTGCAGCCCCCAGCATGATGGCTGGCAATCATGCTGGTCTCTTTCACAGATCTCCCCTGAACATGCATTTCCTTCTGCCTCAAAGCACCTTTTTCTGTCTTTCTAGCCCTAAATCTTACTTGGGTCTCCCTTTTCCAGACTGCACATAGATTCCGGTCAGCATGGTACTCTAGGCCTGTCCATTCCTTGTATCCCCAGAGCACCCTGCAGATAGCTATAGCACCGTTCAGTGAATGCTAATTTGTGTCATAAGATATGTAATATATAGTTTGATCATCAAACGCGCACTGAGGATCAAAATTATGAAGAATTTGAAGACAAAGCTTGTGCCTTATTCAATGTTGTATCATCACACAGTGTTTAGAAAAATATTAAAGGGAGCTAGTGTTCATTAAACTAATTAGCATGACAATGTGAAATATATTCTTGATCTGATTTTTCCCTAGGCCACGTGCTTCAGGATCTATGTATAGTAATACAAAAAGCAGATAAAAATGACTCTTGTCCATCAGTCAACATGAATTGCATTTGTCATGTATATCCTAAGATCTGAGTTCAATTTATATCTTTACAGTTGTAGAGAACATTTCAATAGTGGAGGTGACAAACTTTGTTCATTAAACTTATTTAGGGTTTATTAAACTTATTATTAACACTAGAAATGGCAAAATGTCTTATTTCAAAAGTCAACTCTGGTCTCAAATTCCATCCTTAATTATATAGTTAAAAGTATTATGGCTATTTAAATGCATGTGAGCAATCCACTATCAATTCCTTCCCAAATCCATCTCTCTCTCTCCTGAAATGTCAGTATAATTGTACTAAGATACTTTTAAGAAGTATAAAACTACAGCAACAAAGGGAAAGGAAAGGAGACATTGGAGAATGAGAAACACATATTTACATGAATGACAGTGCATCTTGCTTTCATCCAACATGGAGCAATAGGGGACTAGATTATACCTTCTCTTAAAACAACTTTAAGTAATAGAGAAAACATTTGGAATAATAGTTAATAAGATATTGATCATCTAGCAACAGAGGGCAATAATTCCCAAGAGATGGTAAACTAAAGT